AGGAGCAGGAGGCGGCGCGGGGAGGAGATGAGGTCTCCATGGAGGCTGACACGGGTGAGTCCATGGGGATGCGCTGCTCCCATCCTGCTTTCCCGGGGAGTCTCCCACAGTGCCTGGGAAGCCTCCGTGCCTGCAGGAGCACTTCCAGGGCATGGCAGGAGTCCCGGCACAGGGAATCCAGCAGCGTGGAGCTGGGGCTGGGGAGGGTGGAAGGGGCAGGAGGGCCGGAGCACGACGGGACGGAGGAGGTGGCTCTGGAGACGTGAGAGCAGGAGGGATCCCGGTGCCTTCCCCAGCAGAGCCCTCTCTGCTCTTGGCCCTTGGCGGCTCACTCGAGCCCTGCTGACACCCGACGTGTTCCCTCCGTCGGGAATTCCTGTGCAATTCAGCACAGAATCGCACTGAGCTGCAGCCTTGCCTGCCTCTGCGTCGTGCTCCCAATGCACGTCCAGGGGCTCACGGCAGAGCAGCGAGCTCCGAGCTCGCTCCAGGGGTTTCACCTGGCTGTTCCCCTCTCTGCGAACAGAGCTGCCCATCCTGGTGATGAACGTCACGTCCCTGAGCGCGCAGGAGGAGCCGCCGGGCAGGCAGGACCGGCCGGAGGCGGAGGAGGGCCCGGCTGAGCCCAGCGCCGGTGAGTGACCCGGCACGTGGGCGACGGGCAGGGTGTCCTGGGGCAGGGTGGCCGCTCTGGTGGCCTCTCCCCGCCCTCCGGGGCGCTGGAGAGGAAGGGGCCGGCGCGGTGGCCGGGTGGGTCGCGCGCGGTTCCTCGGTGTGCGCAGGCAGCGAGTGGCGACGTGCGGGTTTCTGAGCGGGGCAGCGGGACGTGGGTGCAGCAGCCAGGGGCACGCTGCCCCCCATACGCAGGGCCGGGTCTGCACACCCCATTCCCTGGCAGCGGCCGCGGGGGGACGCACGGCACGGCGGAGAGAGGCGCAGCCCTCGTTAGGGTTTGCCTTTAGCGCGCGGCGCTTAATGAGAGTGACGAGGGCGGCTGGCGCCGTGGGCGCCCGGGTGACGCGCTGCTGCAGCCGGGGCTCGGTGCCGCTCCGGGCTCCCGTTGCCTGGGGGCTGCCGTGGTGCTCGAAGGCTGTGGGGCTCGGGCACAGCCTGGGGGTGCCCCGGGGCCGCGGGTGCCTAACGGCCGCGCCGCGCTGCCGTTGCAGACGGGGGCTTCTCACCAAAGAACGAGCTGGCGAGCGGCGGTGCTGACAAGGTGGAGGTGAAGGAGGAGGAGCCCGAGGCGCCGCAGGAGCTTCCCACGCCGCCGCGCGCCCTCAGGATGCAGAAGTGCCCCAAGAAGGAGGAGGCGAAGGCCAAGAGCAAGAGGAAGGGCGGCAGGTGCCCCGCGGGCAGCGTGCTGGTGGGGCCGTCGCCGCGGGGCTACGTGCGCGAGTGGTCGCACCCCTGCACCGAGTGCGGCAAGCGCTTCCGCCTCAAGATCAACCTCATCATCCACCAGCGCAGCCACGCCAAGGAGGGGCCCTACGAGTGCGCCGTGTGCGAGATCAGCTTCGCCGACAAGAGCCACCTGGACCTGCACCGCAGCATCCACACGGACGGCAGGGCCTTCGGGGCCAAGGTGTGGGGCAACGTGCACCCGGAGCTGCGCATCCGGCCCAGGAAGAAGCTCTGCGGGGCTCTCTACGGAGGGACCCCCCGCCTGGAGCACAAGGAGCCCTGGCTGGGCCCCGTGAAGAGCGAGCCGGACGCCAGGAGCCCGCCCAGCACGCAGCTCTCCCCCAACCACAGGCGCCAGGCGCACGAGAAGCCGCTGTCCAAGTGCCCCGTTTGCCGGAAGAATCTCTCCTGCACCTTCTCCCTGCAGAGGCACCTGCGGACGCACGCGCGGGACCGGCCGCACCACTGCAGCGAGTGCAAGAAGTCCTTCACGCGCAGCACGCACCTCAAGCGCCACCAGAAGATCCACGAGCGCCAGAGGGCCCTGGAGAAGCTGCAGCAGAGCAAGCCGGACCGGGGCGAGGCCAGGGAGGGCGGCGCGCGCGGCTCGCTCGGCCCCGCGCTCCGCAGGGAGCCCGGCCCCGCTCCCGCCGCGCTGCTCGCGCCCGCCAGGGCCGCCCGCCCCGACAGGCACCCCCAAATCCGCTGCTTTGGGGAGAGGGAGGCGCGGCCCGTGGTGAAGCTAGGGAGCAGGGCGGTGGTTTTGGGAGGGAGCAATAAGTGACGGCGGGAGCCATCGAGCCGCTCGTGTCCCTGGGGAGAAGCGGGATAGGGATTTGGGACCTGGTGGGACACTGCAGTTGAAAACCATCCACAACTAGGGGAGCTTTCCTCAGTTACGGAACGAATCAGAGCTTGGATGCCATCGAACAGAGCAAATTAGAGACGCTCTAGCGATACGAAATGCTTCACCATTCCTCAGGCCCTCGGGTCTAGCGGCTGATGCAAGACATCAACCCCAGCAACCTTTGTGGATGATCAGAGCGCTCTCCTGCAGCCCGGGCAAGAGGAGCGGCGAGCGGGAACTGAGCTCACCCACTGGGTGCTGTTGGCGCTGTAGAGGGTGTTTGAGCTGCTTGCGTGGACTTGGGAACGGAGCGGCACGGGGACGACGGACAGACAGGAACGAGCGTGGCCGTAGGGTGTCCGAGGGGCTCCTTGTGCTGCCGGAGCCGCCTCGCTGCGGGGCGGGAGGAGAGGGTCGGCGCTGCCGTCTCGGGGCGCCCTGCGCTGCAGCCCCCCGGACCCTGCTTGTCCCAGCCCCGTGGCAGAATTGGGTGCTGAAGGCTTGATCCACGTCAGAGTATCCGTGTGCTGCAGCTGAGCTCGACGCTTCTACGGCGACCACAACAGCGACCACAACGTAGGACGCAGAGGGCGAACTCGGCCGCGGTGGCTTCCCTTGGCGCGGGGGCAGCGAGCCGGCCGGGAGCCTTCCCGGCTGGAGCGTCACCTTCCCACAGGGACCAGGGTTAAGAGCCTCGGGCAGGGGGCAGTCCCCTGGGGACCACGTTTCGGGGAGCCGCCCGCCCGCCGCGTGTCCCCCCGGGGCCAGGTGAGTTGTGCTACCTCAGCGGTGCGGAGCGCGGTGCGGGCGCCGGGCGCCCCGCGGGGGGAAACGCGGAGCGCGTGCGGAGACGACGAGCCTGTCCCGGCACCGCCGCCTCCGGAGCTTCCGGGACTCTTGGAAGTCGGGCTTTCTGTTTTCCCATTAAAGTGTGTTTGACTGAAGCGACGCGGCGCCCTGGGTGCCCCGGCCCTTGGCAGCACCCCGAGGTGCCGGCGCGCGGAGGGGTGACGGTAGCCGGGCCTGATGCGAGGGGCCTCGTTCAGGGCCTCCCTCTGGCTGGGGGGGAGCCAACCAACATGGCGGCCGCCTGCGGCCAAGATGGCGGCGCCCAGTGCGGGCAGAGGGGGTGGCCATGTTGGGGGCGGGAGCTTCCGGTGTGCAGCACGGCTGGCCGCATGGCCCCGCCCCCATGGCCCTGCCCCGCCCGGGCGGCCCCGGAGCCGCTGCCGCCCCCTCCCCCCGCGGTGTCCCTGTGACGTCACGGCCACACCTCTCGTCATGGACTGTCCCCCGGGGTGATGTCACCACCCCTCGGGGTGTCCCCAGGGTCTGGCTATGACCCCCCCCCCCCCTTGCCGCATGTCCTCTGGGGTGTCACCATCCCTGGTGTGCCCCACGGAGGGACGACCCCCCCATCCCGTGTCCCAGCTCCGGTGACCCCACGGATCTGCTGCGGTGGAGGCTCCGTCCCAAACCGCTGCCCCGGGAGCGCTGACCGCGCTGCATCCCGCTGTCCCCTGCTCCTGCGCCACATCCCGCTGTCCCCTGGTCCTCCTGCATTCCAGTGTGCCCCTGTCCTGTGCTGCGTCCCAGTGTCCCCTGGTCAGGGGCCACATCCCAGTGTCCCCTCATCCTGGCCACGTCCCCGTGTCCCCTCACCCTGCGCCAAGCCCAGCCGTGGTGCCGGGGCCGCGGGCAGCGTTGCTGGGGAGGAGCGGGATGGATGGAGCGAGGGCGGCAGCTCCGGGGGCTCCAGTGGTTCCGGAGGTGGCGGGTGCCAGGGCCAGGATGCACGGGCGGCTGCAGCAGCGCCTCGAGGCCATGGACAACCGCTCCGGAACAGGAACGTCGGGATCCCACGCCACCCACCCGCCGGTAACGGAGACCCCCCCGAGGCAGCGGCGTCCGCGGCGCCGGCCGCTCCGAGCGCCCCGCTGGGGGACGGGGTCCCCGGCTGCGGGGGGACCGCAGGGACCTCGGCCACATTCCCACGGCGCCGCTGGGCTGCCGCCCGGGAGCCTCCCCGGAAGCAGCCCCGGGAGGATGAGGAGGAGGACGAGGGCCCCGTTGGGTGGGTGGCAGGCCTGGGGGCCGGGCAGCGGCATGAGGGACACCAGGCCCGGCCTGCGCCCACGGCTGCGGCGCATGGGCAGCGCGGCGCCCACGCGCCCTCTCCGCTCGCCCACGCGCTCAGAAGCGCCCCGAGGGCTCCCCAGGCCCCGCCGCTCGGCCACGCACAGACTGGACCCAGGGCTCGGCCCCCGGCGCCGCGCTCGGCCGTGCTGCGACAGTGGGGTCCCCAGCCTGCGGGGGGGATGGCGGTGCCAGGTCCAGGTCCCGCTGCTGGGGGTGCTGCCCCGGCCCCCTGCATTGGGGCCCTTTGCCACGCGCAGCCCCGCTGAGGGAAGCGCGCGCAGCACCCGACTCCGGCTCCGACTCCGCCGCTTCCCGGCCTCTTTATCCACAGCATGAGGACGAGCGCAGTGAGAGCGGCGGTCCCGCGGCGCCCCCGGCACCCACAGTCGCCCCCGTGCCCGGCCCGGCACCACCTCTGCCAAGGGCGCCGTCTGCAGCGCGTACCGCGCGCCCTGTGCCCGGAGACGGCATCCGCGGCACGGGCAGGGCGGGCAGGATGGGCAGCACGGGCAGCCTGTGCCCCGTTGTCGCTCGGTGTTTTCCACCTTCATGTCCTGGTGCGGGGGCACGGCCGGTTGCTCACCAGGCCCCGGGCGCCGCTGCACAGACCCCGCTGTCGCAGCGCGGCCGAGCGCGGCGCCGGGGCAGCTCCGCACGGACAGGGGCGCCCAGGGCTCGGCCGGTGCCGGGACACGGAGCAGAGCCCCGGAGCTGCCGCACACGGCGAGCGGCCCCGGGCACAGCCCCGCGCGGGGCCCCCGCGGTGCCGGCCCCGCTCGCCCACGTCCCAACGGCACCAGGACACCACGTTGCCCCCACATTTTATCCAAGCCCCGCGTGTCTCTCGGCCCGGCCGCTCCAGCAGCGGCTCCCCGGGCGCCGCTCAGCCCGGCGCCGCTCGCCGTCCTTTCCTGCGGTGCCCGAGGGCGGCGCGTGGAGCGCGCGGCAGCCGCTCCATCCACAGCAGCGCCGCCCGGCCTCGCCGCACGGTCCTACCGGGGGCACCTGCACCAACCTCGTCTCACAAGGTCCCGTGCCCTGGGGGGCCCTGGCAGTGCCCGCTGCACCCGTCACCGAAACCTGCAGCTCCTCTGCGCGCGCTGCCGCCGCCGGCTCCCGTCCCGCCGGCTCCGCGGCCTCAGCAGGCGGCTCCGCGGGGGCAGCTGGCGGCCGCGTGCACCTTCTGGTGGTGGTTGAGGGACTGCCGGTGGCGGAAGCTCTTGCTGCAGCCGCTGCACTGGAAGGGCCGCTGCTGCGTGTGCCGCCGCTGGTGCTCCTCGAGCGAGGCCTGCAGCGGGAAGCTCTCGGCGCACTCGATGCAGCGGTAGAGCCTCTTGCGGGGCGCGCCGGGCCGCGCGGGCCGCGCTGTCCTGGCGCCGCGCAGCTGCGCGCCGTGGATGTGCTGGTGCTTCTGCAGGTGGTGCTTCTGGATGAAGCCCTTGCCGCAGACGGCGCAGCGGAAGGGCCGCTCGCCCGTGTGGATGCGGTAGTGCTTGGTGAGGTGCGACTTCTCGTTGAAGCTCTTGCCGCACGCCGGGCACTGGAAGGGGCGCTCGCCCGTGTGCAGGCGCTGGTGCCGCAGCAGCGCCGCGTGGTGCGCCAGGCTGCGGCCGCACGCCGAGCAGATGAAGGAGCCGTTCCTGCGGCACGCGCGGCCC